CCACAGGGTCTCCAAGGCTGTCAGTCTTTATGGGAGCAAAGCCCAAACCACAGCCACTGGAAGCAAAGCCCAAACCAAAGTCACTGCCATTGACTTGACTTGAGTCATAGCGACCCCTCCTTGGGTTTCCGAGGCAGTCTTCCTTCCGAAGAGTGGCTGCTGGGTTTGAACGGCCAGCCCTCTGGTTAGCAGTCAAATGCCTTAGGGAGTGTGCCATCCTAAATACTACTATGTACTAAATACTACTATGCAGTTCCACTCTGTCCTCTAGGGGCGCTGTGAGTCTGAATGGACTCCAGGGCAGTGGGTGTGGTTTGGGCTTTTGCTTCTGTAAAGACTGACAGCCTTGGAAACCCTCGGGGGCAGTTCCAGTCTGTCACATTGTCCAACCCCTTGGCTTGCAGAGGGGGAAACTGAGGCAGGGAGGTGGCTTCACTCAGACAGCTCTGGCTCAGGGTCTGGGCAACCAGATTCCATTGTACCGTGTCCCCTCCTGCGGTGGGCATGTTGGCCCCTCTCACTCCTCTCCTTGCTGCCCCCAGGACCTCTGCGGCTCGGTGCAGCGAGTCTCCGAGTTCTTGGGTCGGCCGCTGAGCCCAGAGGCGCTGAGGTCGGTGGTCGAGCACTCAGCCTTCAGCGCCATGAAGGCCAACACCATGTCCAACTACTCACTGCTGCCTCCCACCCTGCTGGATCACCGCCAAGGGGCCTTCCTCCGGAAAGGTGCGGGCCTCGCTGTGTGACTCCCAGCGTGTTACTTAACCTCTCTGGGCCCGAGCTGAGCCTTGAAAGATTGGGGTGGGAGCAGCGGTGTTCCTGGCAATGGGGACACCATAGGCAAAGACCCAAGGGTGGGAAACAGGATGGGGGGGGGGATGCTCCCTGGCGGCTCCTTAACCCCCGTTGGCCCCTCGCTCCTCCCCAGGGGTCTGTGGCGACTGGAAGAACTACTTCACCGTGGCGCAGAGCGAAACCTTCGACCGCGTCTACCGCGAGAAGATGCGGGGGCAGCCGACCTTTCCTTGGGACGAGGCCCCGAAGGACGCCAGCACGGACCCTGACCCCAGCCCCGACCCCAGCCCGGCTCCTGAGACCCCCGACCCGTGACCCTGAGAATAAACACATCACTCCTGCCAGCGCTCCGGCTTCCTGCTGCGCTTTCAGGGTGGCGGGACGCAGGTGGGCGGCAGGGGGCGCGCGAGAGCAGCGCAGGGCCCCGAGGCTGGGGTGGAGGCCTCACGCCAGGAACCCAGGGAGGGCCTCCCGAGGATGGTTTAGCTTCATTACCAGGGACGCCCAATGGGGTCGGTGACTCAGGCTGAACCCGCAATGCAAGGCCTCAAGGGGCCCTGCGCTGGGCTTGTCAGTTCTCCAAGAGCAGCGCCTCCCGGGTCCCTGGGGAAGAGGCGCACATGAGCTGGGAGTTCTGGGTCCGAGAGAGGAGGGTCTAGGGGCTCAGACTCCTGGGTCCTGGGCCAGGCAGTGTTTGGCTGGAAGCAACTTTATTGCAAGCCAAGGGGGCAAAGGGGAGCCCAACCAGACCTGGCCCCTAAGCACCCACAAAATAGTTCCAGCGCCTGCCTGATCCTTCTCTATGCACCCCCAGTCTTCTCCCTTCTCACTTCCCAGTCCTTCCTCACTCAATTCCACCTCCACCCCCAGATGGGCTCGCTCCTTTCCCCCTCCTGTTTGCCCCAAGGACCCCATCTTCACCTCAGACAATTCCAGCATTGGGGGGCCACTCAGCCAGGTCTCTCAGACCAGTCAGTTCCCCGCGTGCCCACTCTGACCACGTCCAGGCCCAGAATGCAGGGCGGTGGCATCCCAACTGGGGTGCAGGAGGGAGTCGACTGCTCCGGGTGACGCCAGAATGACTGTCTATAAAATTTCTGTGCAGGGTTTCAGCAGAAATTTTTATAAAACTATCCCTGTCATTAGTTACAACAATAAAAACTTTTTTTTTTTTTTTGGTAAGCCCAGCTTACAACTATTAATATACTACCAGGCTAAAAGCTTATTTTATGAACCTTCTAACGCACGGTCATTATCGCCCAATTACAAGGTTGCTTTGAATCACGTGGTTTGTTCTGCACACGTTACAAACACCGCGCTGCAAGCACTCTCTGTTGTTTTTGTCAGTGTTGGTGTTTTTATAGCCGCTGATTTTAGCAAATTTTCTGTTTTTCCAGTTACAATATCGTGGTAAGTAGCATGTGTGAACCTATA